ATATATGATCATAATTAAAACTTTAACATTAGAGCAGTAATACTGCATTGATTGTATTAAATATGTTTAAACAATGTTTTCCATTGGTAATTAAAAGATCGATTACATTTTATTTGAATTTAATTAGCTTAAAGATTGTTTTGAGGTTTTCTTCTATGATAGGACTATTAGCATAACTGATAAAGATGCTATTCAACTTAGTACGATTTATTTTAAATTTCTCATAAAATATCCAAGCGCCAAAAGAGAATTATACAGAATAGAACTAATACATTTTTTTCACTTTTTCAAATTAGAAAATATATCTACAGTTCTAAATTTCAGAGGAATAATAAAAGTTAGCTTCTATTTCGGATGAACCAAGTGTTACTGAATATTTGATGAAACAAATGGGACAATTCTATTACAGCTTAATTTAAATGCAGAGGTTCGACGTCAACTGTTAATGTTGTAGCGTAATTAGTTGCGTGTTAATATACCCTTATTAATCATTATATTTAAATGAATTGGCGAAAAAGAGTTGACATAGTGCGATTCGAACCCTATCCATCCTCGTAGAAAGCAGGTGCTCTGCCAATTGTGTCACTGCGTCACTGGAGATAATAAAAACTTAATTGTATAAAAGCTAAGCATAAATTTCGAAGGCTTATTTTCTCCAAATTGAATGACCGTTCGGCGCTATTACATTGAAGGTTGAACACCCTAATGGAGCACTACTATTATACCAAGTCTCGTCTCAAAATGAATTTCCTTGGTCGTGCCCTCCCCTTGTTAGTCCAACAAATTCTGTTATTTCGAATAGTTAAAACTCAAGCTTATGAAAGAAAACTAAAAGGAATAATTCTTACGATTTTTCAAAACTACTTAAGCATCTGAAAACGAACATGGTCTTTGCAGTGGAAGTAGCATTGATAAATCAGAAAAAATTGCATATAAAATGAAATAAAGAAAACAAGAGTGGAAAAAACAATAGCGGAGGCATCCTCACTCCACCGTCTATATTTTTGATTTTGAAATTTCTCTAAGACAGAGGTCCCCAACCTTTTTTGTCTCATAGACCCCTTGCCATGTTTTTCGGTTTTGGGTAGTCCCCTACTTACCTAATAATGAATTTTTGCAAGTTTATCAACTTAAATGTGTTTTTGACAGCTGGTATAGAGCTATACTTACTTTAAAATATTTAAATTTCTAGCTGTAGTGAAATATAGCGTTTAAAACTTAAAACACACATGTTAATTAATTAAATTAAAATTTAATTAATACTTAAAATAACTGTTACATAAAGTAACTGAGCAGCAAACAAAAGCTTTTCATGGTAGAGGTGAATCTGGTGTTTCATCCATTCTGGTGCTTCTAAAATTGCTGGTATCTGTTTCTAAATTTTACTCGAAGATCTTTTTAATGCCTATTCCAATACATTCATTTTGTAATATATTTGTTTTTTCTTTCAATGTGATCATATTAATTACTGTGGCATTACCATATATATATATATATGTAATCAAAGCATTCTCAAGGCCGCGGTGGCTGAGTGGTCTAGGCATCGGATCATGGCTAGCATGTCATGGGTTCGATCCTAGTACCACTAAAGATCCGCCGTGTAGGGGAGCGATGCACGTTAAATCTGTCGAGAGCTCAAACGTCCTCCCGTTGGTGTGGCGTGGTAGTTAGGAGAGGGGGTGCCAGCTCAGGTGTCATACGCGTCACTTGACCATGGTTCAAAATTACGCGGACCGTCGCCAAAAGCCCTCGTGTTGCTAATCAGTGCGACGTTAATATTCTCTCTCAAAGCATTCTCAAACCTAATTTCAAAGTCTGAATGAAGGGCATTTAAATGTTGAACGTAGGTTAAATCGTCGTTTTCCTGGCAGATAGTGTGTGACAAATTGAGAACTAGGAAAATTCTCGGGATGTCCAATATTATACTCCTTAGCTTAATTTTGACAAGAAACGCCGAAATGATGGTCCTTGTAACTGCAAATTAACTTTATTAAATTTGGTCAATAAATCTGTTAAACAGGTAAATCTGGTTTCCACTTGATTAAATTTTCTTTTAAAATTAAAGTCATGATCCAGTAATCTACCGTAGAACCCATTTTACACCTCATGGACCCCCAAACTATTTTTTCGCTGACGTGGACCCCCTGCATGTTGTCATAGACCCCTGGGGGTCTATATAGACCACTTTGGGAATCACTGCTCTAAGAGATACAGCAGTAGAGTCAGTTTTACTTAGAATCGCAGAGAAAGAGGGGATAGGGGTAAAAGTGAGAATAACTACCACATTCGAGTAGAGAGCAGAATAAGGAGGAAGAAATGCTTAAAGAGATAAAAAAAAATGACAAATAAATAGAAGAGATAGATCACATCTGATTTGACATCAGTGAGTAATGTATTGGACGGGTTCTATTCGATTAGGATATTTTAGTCGAAATAACACCTCATATTATTTATTTTACATGATGCATTTGATGTGAATTGGTTCGCAAAACCATCCATTGAATATTTTCTTAGTGCTTGTATCGCCACTTCCCTGTGACGAGAAAGATTTTTTTTAATGATTGTGAACGACATTAAGGGCAGTGTACTAAACATGTTTACTGGGAGTTATTCAACCGTAGCTTGTAGTTTGCTATGAAACATGCCTAATGGATAAATCTTTTTATTTTTGAGCGCAGTGGTGTTCTGTTTATATAACCGCTGTCTGAATATAATGCATTGAATTATCTTTTTTTTTAAAGTGCATTTTATATTACATAAGATATATAAGAGTTCGTATTTGAATGGTTTGAGAAATATTCGTAAATGTTCTTATTCGTGTTTTTTTTAAAATATTAAATTCATTTAAGTTTATAATGTGATCGTTTTTAAAGTATTAATTAAAAGAAGTTTATACTTTTAACGACTTTAAAGGACTTGCACCACTTTCAAAGTCAACCAAAAATGTGAAAATGATACATTTAATAAAATATTAAACATGGAATTTTTAAACCATTTTTTTAATAATTTATTAAATATGTCAAAAATATAAGGTTTTATCTTAGTATTTCTTAGAGTAATGTCATTTAAAGTATTCCATATTAAAACGCCATGTTTAATTTTCATCACAATATTCACCGAAATTTCAAGCGAACGAATGAATTTTTTTTATGTCATTAGCAGTGTTGCCACACATATAATTCTGAAATGGAGAAATAACGTAGAATAACATTTGAGCTAAATACCTATGGGAAGAGGATTTATACCAATTAAATTTATATTTAAAAAAATTAAAATTTAATTGACTAATATAACCATTTTTAAAGAACGGCTTGCGTATTTAAAATGTCGTAAAAAAACATTTAAAATAATTCTTATTGAATAATTCAATTCAAGAATCTGTAAGTCAAATACTTTTATTTGATAGTTTAACATAAATGTTAATTATAAGAAAATATTTTAAATTACACTCAAGGGACAATACAATACTCTGACCTTCAAATCTTGTCTCAAACCCTAGGAATCTGACAATGTAGTATAGTGGTTATTTTATTTACTCCAGTACTGTCCAGCTATTTTCTTGCTTATAACTTTATTTTGTTAGATTTATAGTAATTTAATATACTATAAATGATTTTACATTGTATGCATATTATAAAAAAATTCACTTCTTTAAAAAAAATTTTTTTTCCACAAACGCGTTCAAGATATTGCAAATTACTCGAAATAATGATTGGGTAAAATAAGATTTCGTTTACTGAAATCCTGTTTCCATTCAATCACATTATACTCCGCTGACCACATTTTTATAATCGTTGGTTCAGTGGCTCAGAGGTAAGGCTTGTTGTTCGACCCCAACTAGAGTCGATAAATTTTCTGGATGTGAAAATTGTAGGCAAGCATGTCATATGATTATGTTGCATGCAAAGGATGCCTTTGAGTATCAATTTGGATCTGGAACACTCAGGAAAATTTTATCTCATCAATATTCAGCATCCGACGAGAGTTTGAATTAATTCAAGCGCCCAAATTTGGTAGCGAGAGTCACCACTAGATGGCGCCCCCATTGAAAAGGATCTCACATTTGGGGACTTGCCGAGTCTGCAAAAGGCTCAGTTACTAATTTGCTGCCCATTAGACGGGGAAAAACATTTTTATAATCTATAATATACATCCATAAACTTTTTTAAAATATCCAGCAATTCTTAATGCCATAAAAATCTCTATTTCACACAAACCCAGTCCGATAAACTGTTTCAAATCCCATACTAACGCCTTCGAATTCAAAACATGCTACACTCCCATTCCGCAAAGTATCTTTACCCCCTTCCCTAAAGAACCCCCCACCATCCAAATCACGATCATTTTCCTGGAGAATGGCAAAATAAAGACTATTCAAAGCATACCAGAAACCACTGAAGGTACTCCGGAGGCTCAATGCTAGAGAGAGAGAGGAAGGATCGATATTCACAATGAAATCTGTTTATTCTCTCTTCCTGCTCAGACTAAACCTGAAGTAAACATAAATTACGCCACTGAATATGGTCACTTCATTCGATTAAACTGTCTGCTCTCAGAGGACGGGGTCTTTTGAAGGGGGGAGGGGTGCAAAGCCATTTCCAGAGATTTCTGAGAAAGATGTGGATTTGTCTGGTATGGAATGATTAAATAATGTAATGGATGATGAAATTTTGTTACGATTCAAGAGGACACGAGGTAAACAACAACATACTAATGAATAAATATTTTTAGATTTTTGCTTTGTGCCCCCTCCTTTTCAATTCCTACTATTAGTTCACTTTCTCCCTATATATATTTATATATCTTGTTCAAATTTTCAATCATTAATAAAATACATTGTTCAAATACATTTTTTAAACTTGTAGTGTGTGTCAATGACACATGATATTAATACAGTTTTTTCAAATATTAATTCATTAATTAAATTAAAAAATGACTAAATAGCAACACGCAAAAATAACAGTCCAGCGCAATACATAGAAAGAATAACCACTCGTTTTATCCCTGTAGCACAATGGATAGCGCGTTGGAATACTAATCCAAAGGTAGTGGGCTCGAATTCTACATGGGATGGCCTAATTTCTTAGGAAGTGTTTTTTTTTTACTATACTTTTTTATTCGAATAATTAAATTTAATAAATGAATAAATAGTAACAAGCAAAAATAATAATCCAACACCATATATAAAAAGGAAAAATCTTTCTATTTTGCCACTTAATATTGCGATTCCGTGTCATGTATATACATATTTATATTAAATGTAACTAAAATAAAATTTCTCTTTGTTGACATGTGTAGGAATTGACTTGGAAATTTTTTTTTCAATGTTACTTGTTGTATTGAGGAGCTCTGTACTTTTCAATGGCTTTTCGATTTTATATTCACTTAATTCCAATTTAAGTTTTTTTAAATTCAAAATACAATTTAAATTTTACACGAAAACTATACAACTATAAACTACTTGCATATATTTCTGTTACAATAAAAAGAATGGAACAAATAGATAAATTTTTTTTGATAGCTTATTAAAAAAACTTTAAGCCAAAAAAAATTATTCGATCTTTTTGAAAAAAATTCCAATACAACGAGCTATTTTTTACTTCATTTATAAGACAATTTTAAAATTCTTTCGTCTAATTCTTTTTTTTAATATTTAAATACCAAAACAGTTTTATAAATGTTACGCTGATTGTAGAAAACGAGAATTACAGACGCGCCAGACCCTGTAATTTTGAACCATGGTAAAGTAACAAGGACAATTGACAATTATTTTTAGTATTTTTATTTCAATATTTTACAAAATGAAACAAAAATAATATAATAAACATAAAAGTATTTAATATGATCTAAATTTTCAGTTAAAGCAGCCACTTCAAAAAAAAAGAGAAAAAAAAAAGAAAAAAAAATGTATAGGGTGAATTTATATACATTTAAATCAATATTTTGTATTGAATTTCAGGGAAGCTATTTTAAAACCATTTTACATTTTTTTCCTTAAAAAAAAGGTTAAAAAGCTGCGCTTTTACAAATTAATAAAAATTGAATCTTACTCAACTATAAGTTCACTCCAGAAATTTAATAATCAACATATTCAAATTTTAAATGCCCATAGCAACAGAATAATTATATTTTTCTTGGCACACAAGGATTCTATCTTTTCTTTTCAGCTCACACAATTGATTTTTCTGTTACTTAATGAAATATGTATGTTATGGAACATCCAGTGTTCATTAACACACAAAAGCGAATATTCCAATATAAAAAATTCCAATCTGTAGTTTCAAGTAATAATAAACATATTTATTGTAATTGGTATCGTACTTAAGATCTCTGCAACGTGTTATTTTATAGTGGGGTTCGCTTGTTTCTTTTATCAAAATCATCGTTACTTGTAATAATTCTCTTAATTTTGATTATTTATTAACGTTGCACTTTGAAGTAGCGCGGGCAATGGACCTCGTAGTTTTGATCCTTCACAGATTTGACGTGCATAAAATCATCCATTTTTAGCGGCACCAGGAATCAAACCTCAAACTAAATACAACTCACATTGATCACGAGTTGGAGATCAGAGTCATTCGATAACCGCTGCCACCGATCAGGAGTTGAACCTTAGACTGGATGGAATCAACGGCGGCCACTGGTGCATGACCTTGACCCTTCCAATATTGCAACCATTCTCAATTATAAATCATCCTTGAATGAGGAAAGAACGACACTTGAAATACTCCTCCTAAAGTCCACACAACACCATGTGATGAAATTATAAAGAATTTACCTCCCTTCTTTTCTGTGACTCGGCTAGAGGTGTGGGAGGATGTAAATGATCAGACGACATGATGAACTTCAATTATTTATTTATCACTATATTCAACTCAGATACAAATAACACTCTAAATAAGATAACTTGATCAGTCAGAGCACGAGGTAAGACGAGATGCGTGGGGAGAATATATACAAGCACGCAGATCTATCTTTAAGATAACTTTAGCTTGTTTAATTGATGACCTCACTAATAATTTAACTCTCTAACATGAACTTGACTGAGGATCACAGTATCTGAACTCTAGCGGTCTTCTAATCCTTGCGTTTACTGTAACACGGCTCCAACAGTTGAACTTCACTGCCGATTTACCACACTTCTCATATATCCACAATTCACTTCACTTCTAAACTATTCTCACTTCACTAACTCTCAAACTCGCGAATACAGAATATATATATTAGACTTAATTTGCATAATAACACTTTCTGTCTTCGGAAAAAGTTGGTTGAAAAAATGTTTCCCCAAAAAGAATTCCCCAGAGGTTAATAGAAGGAACCGTATAGATCCGTCACAAAATGGAGGCCCTCGTTTATTTAATTAACATCCCTAGTTATTTTCTGGAGTCAGTACTCGAAAGATGACTCAAATTATATACTTCTAGCGTGACCGTGCCCTGGTCTCGAGCTCGTGGTCAACTTTGTTCCTGCCGAGTCATGGGTTCAAGGCTTTGCCCCACTAAAGACCCTCCGTATACATGTTATAATGCACGTAAAATATTTTGAGACTCAAAGTCTTCATGTTGGAGGATTGGATCATGAAGAGAGGATTGGAGAGTTAAGTGCTAGCTAAGATGTCCCTTTTTTACTATGGTTTAACAAAGCGGTGGCCAACCTTTTTGGGAAGAGTACAACTATTTGATAAGAGAAATAATTAAACGTGCCACTTCAATTTTTCCAACAAACTAATATGAAAAAGTGAAAAAATTCTACTTAAAATATTATTATAGTATTCTTTATAGGCACTTATAAGCTTATTATGGGCAAACAGCACATTTTTTAATGCAAGTCTGTGTAGTCGAAATTTAAAAATATAAGAAATAAGACGAAAATACAAACTTAGGTTTTATTGTTACTTAACTTTTTACAGACTAAATCAACTAGGTTAGGTTTTAAATAAAAATAAGTAACTTGAATTATTCAATTCAAAATAATTATTAAACGCTCAGTATCTACTTAATGTGGTTTTTGAATTACTACTTTATTTTTACTAAACCATCTATATTAGGATTATCTCTCACAAATGCTAACAAAATTAGGTTATTATAGGTGTACATTAGCTAGTTTGATTGATATTTTATTATGTTCACAGTAGAAAACACTTATTCGAAAACATATTTTGATCCAAAGTTTGAGGTTTTTTGTCTGATACAACCCCAGTTCAATAAAATTGTAAAAAAATAATTAATTATCTTTTTAAAAATTTTTAAAATTTGTTTAAGACCCCGCTTGCCACTGCTAGAACTCCATCGTGTCACACTGTGGCACGCAACCCCGAGTTGTTCATCCCTGGTTTAACATTAAAAGGTTTGTCGCCCACAGCACTGGCTCGTATAACATCAAAGGGTGATGCTAATAAGAAATCGACGTTCCTAAAAAAAAAAGGTAATATTTTGAGGAGATTTTAGTAAGGGAACCAGGACATCATATACTTTCAAAAAATCGATTTTTCAATTTTAGTTCTAAAAAATAGTGCATATTTTTCTGAACCTAAAAATGAAAAAAGTTATATGTTTGTTGATAAAATAGCCCTAAAATATGAAAAATAAAAATGCAAAAAAATGACCAGGCCCCTTTTGACTCTTAGTTTTTTTACTTTTTCTCAAAAGCATATTTTTTTTTGCATTTAGGTACATTTAAAAAAAAAACTTTTGCACTATAAGATTCCAGATTTTTTATACTTTTATACAAGATGACTATGCAAATAGTGAACCTAATTTTTTTTCTATTAAAATAGTGCCTAAATTCTTAAAAATGGTTTTATGCATAAAAAACAGCAAAAAAAATAAAAATTTCCAAATTTCAAAGTTTCATAATTTTTTTAAAGAAACTATACTAAAATTTCACTAAAAAAAATAGGTTCACTGTCTTTTGTGTATTGTTTATATACGTGTAAAAAATATTTTGCATAAAAAAAATATACTTTAAAAAAAAAATGGTACCTAAACATAAGTATGTATTATGAGTTCTCAAAAGTAATGTATTACTTAAATTAAGTAGGAAAAAAATCTTTTGAACTAAAAAGTTATTTTTTTAGTTCTACAGAATAATTAAATTATCTTTATATTAAGAACGTAAAATATCTAAGCTGTATTGAAAATTTTAAAAGATATATGTCTCATAAACAAAGGGTCTTAATTTTGGCATTTTACACTTCCGAGCATGTCCTGGTTCCCTTAAAACTAACATTTTATCCACAACTATGCATTATTATCATCAAAGAAACTCTATTTAAGTTTTAAATAGAATTACTTAATTCTAGTAATCCTTATGCGATGTATCAAATGTAAATTGCAACATTTAAGTACAATGCGCAAGGAACAAATATGCAATCGGAAAGCTTCATAAAAGCAATTGCTAAGGAAGCGAATTTCGCCAAGAATTCATTCTCCAATAGAGTTTCGCAATGCACCAGAGATGTCATTAACATCTGACTTCTAAATGAGCGGAGGGTTGCATTTTCCAAATAATACTCGCCATAGATTCAAAATAAGGTAAGAGATTTATGTCATGTTATATGACGAGTATTAGTCCGTGTATATATATATTTCAATACTTATTAATCAATTGAAGCTACATGCATTGATATGCAATACAAATGCAAAACACTAAAGAGGGGTTTTGTTCAAAAAATATTTTAAATAGTTTATTAGCATATATGAGGGTTGTGTTGTTTATTTTTAAGTAAGAGGCGTTGTTAACAGATATGCGACCATAATTTGTGTCTAAAGCATAAAGGGTAGGTTCCTAATATCCTTGCTTAAATATTTTCTTACCTGTAGAAGCTGAAATTCACCAATATATTACCGATGAAGGATAAAATGTAACTGAGCACAGTCAGAGTTTTGTTTTAAGTTTGACAACAGAGAAACCTGAGTGACAAAGCTGCTTTAAATTTTGTGTAAAACTTGTTTTTTCTTCTGCTTTCTCAGGCGTCCGAAAAACAGAAACAAAAAAAATAATAATTCAGAAATGGAATCAGGGTTTCAAAAGTGTGGTACGCGAATCCCAGGGGTAAAGTAGTAAGTTCA